CCCCAAAACCCCAAAACCCCAAAACCCCAATGAAGAGATTTTACAAAATTTTAGTTTTACTTTGAAATTAAATTTGATAGATTTCGATCGAGTTAATATCAACGACACTCGAAAAATACACATTTTGATTATTTTATGTCAGTGACTTCCACCACCGCTTAATATTAAGCCTGTGATAACAAAGCCAAGTGTTAGGAAAGCATAGACTCCAATCACAATCATATAAACTGGATGTTGGAATGGACTCTTGTTAAAATTTAAGCCATAGGTTTTTTCGAGATCTTTACTTCGGGAGTGGTAAACTAAGATGAGAGGTATAATAAATAAAATGAAAGTTCCACAGAGTCCTCCAGTATATGCAATAAATACTTAGGGATTTCTTAGGGGGATAACTATTGCTAAAACTGGTAATGATATCATGATACTCCATACTCCTTTAACGATTCTTCTATTATCCTATAATCATAATTAAAACTAAGAAAATTACCTAGAGCAAAAACTAGCAAATCCTACTTTAACTCTTAGCAAGCCATCTTTTGATTGGAACCACCTCCATCAAGTTATTTCTGAGAGTAATAGTCAAGACTGGAACAGATGAAACATTCAGCATAGGATAGAAATTACAAACTTGCCCAATAAAAGGAATATTAACGAAATTTTCATTAAACAACTTAGCAACTCTGCAAGGATAAACTCCTTTTCCACTGCATTCATGATCAATACCACTAAATGCAATAAATGCCATGACACCTTCTAATCCGAGCAGAAATGTACCAATAAAATGACTAGTCAAGAACATAGGTTTAATATTTGATTGTGGTCTAATTGGATACACAATACCAGAAATACTGTGATGGAAAATAAAAACAAAGACAGTATTTCCAAAAGTAGTTGCCAAATTTTGAGCAATACTTGGACCATCAAAAACAGGGGCACTTTGAACACCATCATGAATCAAGTAGTAAATTGTTCCTCCATATAAGAAAATAATGACAATCAATCTCATAAAGCCTGTAACAATTTGTAAAACCTTTGAGTTTTCAATGTTTCCAAAAGAGAAAAATAGCGATAATGAGCCGAATATTAAGATGCCCACTAAAAATATTTATTGACATCAGTATTCTTACAATAATAAGGATCAACAGGGGAGTTACGAGCCCATTCATCAACATCATGATAGATCGTAAATGACACTGCTTGAACAAAGCTTTCAGCTCCACTTGAGTATTTAAGACACATTGCTCCATACATGTATATAACTAGAATAACCATTGAAGCAACTTTAATCCAAGGAGCGCAAAACTACTCAACTAATTTGCCAAGCTCAACTTTTTATCTTATATAAAATGGCGATGTCTTATGACCTATATCCTTAGAATTGAATTTCATTAACATTTCAGGTGTTGCATAAACTTATTCAGGGAACAGAGTATCGAGCCTGCCTTGACTTTTCTCAGCATTTGCTGAAGAAATTACCTCAACTATGAAAGTTGAAGTTATATAAGATAGAACTGCAGTTATCAATAGTATAATGATGCTCAAAACTGGACCTAGAGAAGCCAATGCATATGGATAACTAGTTTTGAACAATAAAGAGTAATTTTATATACCTGAATGGTCCTGTAGCCAAAATGAGATTGATCACAGTAGCAGAAGCTGCTATAGGGCTCATTGGCATTGGAGCAGCTGGTTTACTACTGCTATTTTATTAAGATTGATCTCCATGTGTCTCTATTAGCTTATCTTCATCAGCAATAGTTGAAAAAGCCATATTTCCAGATTTGTTAATTTTCCTGTCAGACATATCGTCGTCCTAATACATATCAATTATAATTTTTTAATATTTATCTTTTGAATTATTATAAGTTTGGCTATACATTCAAATCTGATGGGGTTTTGGGGTTTTGGGGTTTTGGGG